CGCGGCTCCTCTTTATGGAAAAGGCCCACCCACCCATCCGCCGCTGATCGGATATCACATATCAGGGTTGCGGGGGAGTCCTCGCCGCCCCGAGGCTCATCACGGGCGGCGAGGACTCCCCCGCAACCCTCCCTCATCCCGTCCCCGACTTGAAAAGGAGCGCAAGGAGGATGGTGAGGAAGAGGGAAAGGGCTGAAAAAGAAGGAGCAAACGACAACTTTCACGCCATCGTCACAATTATTGTTGAATTTACGTCCTTCCGTTTGGGGGGGGGGGGATGTTTAGAATGCTGTAACGCAATCAGTTTCATGTTTATAAAAATGGTATCAGGTCAAAGCGCGAACTTTACCAGGGTATCATGTGATATTGAACTTTTTTTTCCCCAGTGTGGGTGCAATGTGGTTCTAAAGTGGACAAAATATGTAAGTTGTTTTGTCCGCGCGTTGCGTTTAATGGGAACTTGACCGACACCAAAATGGCCGCCATGTAGGCGCGTCGCTTAGCATGCTGCCATATCATATCGTGTCTTCTCATCATATCTGTGACTGAGATGACGTATGAGAAACACCTCTGGGTTGCTTTCGGTAGCTCGAGAAGTAAATAAACCTCCTTCTTAGAACTTCAACAGCATTCTCCTAATGTTAGCATGTTAAAATGTTAGCATGTTACCTCGTAATCTTGGTGCTGACCACCGACGTGGACAAGAGCTAGCAACTTGCAAGTCTCTTTGGGATGAATTAGTTTGACCTACGGCGGCGCTAGCTTGAAAACAGCCTTCCACCATCTGGCCGCTAATAACCCGCGAAGGTGTTTAAGGACGCGCGAAGTGGAACTAAACATTAACAGGCGCCAGCCAGCAAGTGAGTTGGATTCAACACGTGTTTCTCCCACTTTGGCGCTAATGACGACTAGCAACCTGTGAAGGTCTTTTAAGCGCAAGGCGCAAAAGGTCTGGAGAACAGCCGCTCCGAATTAGCGGACATTGACGCCGTCCATTAATATTTCGGTGAGCAAGATGATTCGCGCAGCGTGGCGGGCCTGAAGCAGAAAAAGGAGCAGGATGGGGAAACAAAATGAAAAGGAAGAAGGCGAAGAAGAATGTCGCCGCAATAAAAAGTCGGAGGCAGCAGATTTGCGCTGGACTTTCCGCCTGGATTACGTTTCCTCATTAGTTGCTTGGACCTCTGCCTCTCATGGAACATTCCGGATATTTTTAGCACGCACATTGTCTACATAGTGGGGCAGCACAAACGCGTTGCTTGTGGCCTGATTCCCGAGTCAACGTTTTGGACGCCGTTTTCAGCTCAGAGGGACATCCAGTGGCCGTCTGAGGAAGTGACCGCATTCATGAAATCTGACGTTAAATCGAGTATGACGAGAGATTAGATTAGACGACACGAAAAAATGGAAGATGATGTGATGATGCAGATTGGGGTGGGGTGGCATCTAGTGGCCGTCCAAGGAAGTGCAGCTAGCTCATGCGGTCAATTGTCCTGCTATTGGAATTTATTGTTCAGGTGTTCTTTGAAGATTATTTACATGTTATTTGAAGGTGGCTGGCGTGTCCAGAGAATGTCATTTGCGTATCCTTTGAGGACCGTTAGCATGTTCTTTGAATATGATCATGATCTTTAAAGTTGATTATCGTGTTCACCAAACACTGAGAGAATGTTTCGTCTTAGCATGTTCCAAAAGCATGTTTTGTGAAGACCACTATTGGGTTCAGTCAAGTTTGTTAGCCTGTTTTGACATTTTTTTTTTGCCTGTCCAGAGAATGCTATTAGCCAGAATGCTATTAGCACGTTCCTTGAAGATATGTCGCATGTTGCACATTATCATGGTCTTGGAAGGTGGTTAGCATGTTCAGAGAATATGTAGAGTGTTTTTCAGGGTTGTTAGTATGTTCCTTCAAGATTCTTTGAAGATGATTATCGTGATTTGTTTTTGAAGACCCATTGCGTGTTTGCACATGTCACAGTAAGTCACATTTAATTAGCTCACTTAGATGCCAACGTGTGTTTATCATCTCAAGAAACCTGGAGATGCGTTAGAATGTGAGAGTATCAAAATATAAGCTCCTCCATGCAGGAGGTCATGACCGGAGTTCAAACTCACCTTCTGATTGGCCTTCTTGATTTACGTCGCGACACATGACGTAGTTGGCATCATGCTAATCTGCAAAGACTGAATATTCAAAATAAATAGGAAAGTCTTGAAACTGAAACACTGAGAAATAACGTGAACAACTTACCTCTTTCAGTTTGTACCTTCAGATCGAGAACTATGAGAAATAAATAAGTGGCTGCTAAGCTAACTGCTAGCTTAGCCAGGGGCATTTCAGTTGTGGGTCTATAAGATTTCATAAAACAAGAAAATAAGAAAAGGAAGAAAATATTTACAGTTGGACTTGAAGTTTCATCATTAAATGTGTTTGACAAACAGTTAGGAAATGAGTTGGCTGTGTTATTTTGGTTTTTTTTTTTTTTCATTTTAATAATTGCTTCGAAAAACCCTGAGCATGATGCTAACGCTGCCAACCACCACGACAAGTAAGTTCCTTCAGTCAATAATCGTGCTATTGTGTTGAGTTAGCAGCATTGAGAAGTAGGTTGAAAAAAAAAATACAATTTAATGCACCATAAAAATGTTGCTAATGTGAAAGAAGACAGTTAAATTGGTTGGTCAGTGCTGAACACAAGAAGAAAAGACAAAGAATAAGAAGAAGAAAAAGTGGAAGTAAAGTGATTCGAGCACAAGAGTTTTATTCCAAACACAACACAACACGCTAGCTTGCTAGCGTGCTGGCAAACCAACACCGAAAACAAAACACCATCGCTTACTTGAACTTTCTGTCTTCCATACCAACATTACAAAGCACCAATGGAGAACTTTCCTTGAAGGTGCTCACACTTTCAAGTTGAACCTTTTGGGATAAAACTCTTGAGACTTGAACGAGAAGAGCAGAAGCCCAAGTGTGCCGTCGGTGTTTAGCTGTCGAACATCTTCTTCCTGTCCGACTTGTCCTCGATGTTCTTACGCCAGTCGCCAACGTCGCGGAGTTGCTTGTCCTGAAAAACACACACAAAGTGCGTGTTTTTCAGACACACCGGCGAGCGGCTGACGGGAATTTGCTAACAACATCGCGCGACATTGGTGGCAAACGTCTCCAAACATCCTCAGCAGCGTCTCCAGCCATTTTCCAAGTATCAGCATCCTGTTTTCAACACCTCCCCCCAAAAGTCTCCCAAGATGCTCCTCACCTCCTCCTTGACCTCCTTCTTGACCTGCTTGAGGTTGGCCCTGAGGTCCATGTTGACGGTGTGTTTGGAGCCCAGCAGCGCCTTCAGCATGGCGTCGGCCGACATGCGCACCTTCTTCAGACGGGGTCTCTTGAACTTGCCCCTCAGGTCCACGATCTTGATGTTCAGGTCCCGCACCTGCGGGATACAGCAGGACCAGGGACTTGAAACCTAGTAGCGTACCGACTCTAAGCATATTAGCATTTTCTTGAGGTTCACTGAACCCCACGTTCCCAAAGCGTCTTTTCACACACGAGGGCGATGAATTGTCTTTGACTCTCACATCAGCCAATTGAGAAGAAAGCGATTGGAAATGTTTCACTCTTCTCACAAAAAAACACAGCGACCGGGAATCGTTTCCTGCTCTCACTTGGCCCTTTTCCACCACGCTTGCGCTAGTGCTCATCCCCGGGGCCAGTGGCCAGGTGAGCACCACTTCTTTTCTCTTTCCACCAGCGAAATTGGCTCCAGCTCCGGTGCTTGAAATGGGCGGCCCCAATTATTTGTTGGGCCAGACTCTGGCACCAACTCCATCACGGTTAACTCCCTCAAGCTATGCACCAAATGCTGAGCGGTGAACTCCGGCACACAACCAGAAGAGCGATGGCGGACGTACTCGGCTAGCATGCACTCTCCGACTTGCGGCCGGCCTGGTAATCATCTACAACGATTAAGAAAGATAGAAGTGTTTGTCCCTGACTGTTACAGTATATACTGCATACAAGTATAATCGATGCTATGCTAAGTTCCCGAGCGGATGCTAACGGCGCATGATTATTAAAATTATTATTAATGGCGTAGGTGCTCTTGGGCAAACGTGAATGGTGCTCTTCTCTTAAGCAAAGGGCAGAGCAGCCACGATCATGTCTTTCTTCAAAAGCCCAGCAGCCATCAATAGTTTTTCCTTTCTCAGAAAATAATGACTCCATCTTCTCACCTCGTTGAGGACCATGTTGAGCTTGAACTCGATGCAGTAACGTTCCTCCTCGCTGATGTCAATCTGCTGGCGGAGTTGCTTGCAGAGCTCCTGAGGAGGGCATCGCGGCAAACGTCAGCGCGCGGAAGCCGGCGAGCGAGAGGCGCACAGACGTCCACTCACCCGCAGCTCGTCGCCCGAGTAGGGAATGTCCATGTGAGGACATTTGTCTGCCAGGAACCTCTCGCGCTCTCCGGCTTTCTCGCTAGCCTCCGCCTCCAGGAGGTTGTTGGCCACCACCAGCATGCAACTCTGAGGGCACACGCGTGCTCGCTTAGGAATTGCAATGCACGCGCGCACACACACACACACACACACACACACACACACAAAACATCCAAATACACAGCCTATCCCAGCTGTCTTCGGGCAGTAGGCGGGGGACACCCTGAACCGGTCGCCAGCCGATCGCAGGGCACACAGAGACGAACAACCATCCGCACTCACACTCACACCGAGGGACAATTTGGAGTGTTCAATCAGCTTTCCACGCATGTTTTTGGAATGTGGGAGGAAACTGGAGTACCCGGAGAAAACCCACGCCAGCACAAGGAAGAGATACGAACTCCACTGAATTTTAACACTCGTCAGCATGTTTAGTGTGGAGGTGACAGGCCTGGTTGGATGGCTGTGAACGTGCAACACAAGTATGCACACAAACGGGTATTCAAACGGATACAAGCACGCACGCGCACGCGCACACACACACACACACACACACACACACACACACGTACCTTGAGAGTGTGCTTGCGTCTGGCAGAGAGTCGTTTCCTGCGCAGATCACATTACGGACAAATGATTGGCTGCTAGCATGCTAACGCTAGACATTTTATCATTAAGTTTTTTTGTTCTTTTTTTTTTTTAATGGGTTAGTCTGAAGTTGCTATCATTTTATATTTTAGCATGTTAGCATTTAGCCCATCGCAGTAGGTTTCATCTCGTTAGCATCTGTCCATGGAGCCAAATTAACGATGCAGGCGTATGGAGCTCGTTAGCATGCTACATGTTCGCATTCTTTGCAAGGACAGTGAATTTGATGTCACTCACTCGGTGGCCATGTTGGCTTCTCGTTGTAGACCTTATCTGCAAAATACAAAAATAGAAAAATATTATTTATGTAGTCCAGTGTAAAAAAAATAAAATAAAATACAAAAATTATTTTGTGTCACGTTTATCCAAATAAACCAAATATTTTTTTAAAAAATGGTTGTTGTTGGCTTTGTTTTCCTTTGTTTCTTTTTGTTAAATCGTTGCTTCATTTTTGGTGCGACAGTCGAAGTTTAGCGCATTAGCGGTCGCCTTAGAATCTTACCAACCTGTTGATTCGTCTCTCAAAGTTTATTTTGGGATGTGAAGATGTCTCAAGTAATCCATGCAGATTCAATGTCCGCATTTAATTTTAGAAGACGTCTCTTGTTGAAAAGGCAGAAGTCAAGTCCAACATTTTCTTTCTAATAATATTTTCTACGAGCCCTCATTGGTCCAAAGATGGTATTATGATGAATAACGGCGTGACGGAATAAGAACGAAGGCTGTTTTCAGCCATCTCAGGAAGCTGTAAGTATCGGCGGCTGGTGTCGGCGGCCTTCACGAATACTTATCGGCTTACTATCGGCTTGATACGATACCTGGTATCAGTTTTTTGCCCATCCCTTAATGGAATAAATTCAGATTAGATTAGTGACGATGAACTTCAGTTGCGTAGTGGCGTGAAATAAGGTAAAGACGATGGAGGGGGTCAGTATCATATAGACGTGGGGGCGGCGGGTGCATGTCTATTCGCGGACTCAGCTGTCGGCGGAGGAGCAAAAGTGGACGACGTGCTCGTCTTGAAAGAAAAGACGTCTCGAGTGACGAGCGCATCGGCGCTGCTGGCGCGAGAGCAACTGGCTGTCATCGACACAAGAGTCCTGGGCGCGACGCTGAGGGGCGGCTACGGGTCCGAAATGTATTTTGGGAGGCCCGAGGGCATGATGCTGAGGGCATGAGAGGGACTGGGGTGGGGTGGGGTCGGGGGGGGGGGGCGTAACCCAACACGCACCCGCAAGAGGTTTTCATATGAGTAAAGAGAAATAAATAGAAGGCAGCTGCTACCCACCCGGCCGCCATTTTTTCACACGTGTCCCGCTTCCCCCCCCCCCTTTTGAACATTTTCATTTTTGCCACCAAAATGTCTTGACAAGCTCCCACTACTTAGGTATGTAGAACTACACATGTTGTGTATTTCCTGTACCTGTATTATTTTTAGGATACGAGTTAGCCTCACGGCATCGTGTTGTCATCGTTGCCATGGCGACAGAGACAACAAAGAAGCTGCTGCTGCTGCTGCTGCTCTTGCTACTTGGGACGATGTCGCAAAACAGCCAGTTCATATCTGACATTCCAAAGTATTTATCATGCAAACAACTAAAAGGTTACATTTACTTTAGGCTGAATTTAAAATCGATTTTTTTCATTGTAATTATTTTTCCATCATAAAGGAAAGAGCAGAGTGCCCGTTGGGTTTCCTTTTGAAGGATTGCAGTCAGTCCTGTATCATAAATTAAATGGAAATACTTTTAAAAAGTGACATGTATGCATTTTGTTAACGGCCTACAAATGTGCTCAATATATTTAACTATTCCCAGACATTGTCTCAAATTTGGAATTTTCGTTTTTTGGGAGTTCGTGGAGTTAATTTTATTATTGAGATTTTATTTATTTATTTATTTTTTTAAGTCAACGGATTTATTTAAAGTTTTATGAAAATGGGACACCATCACAAACGGTTGCTAACAACGTAGGGGTCATGTGACATCATCTCCTATTTTTTTCTTTTTTTTTCTTCTTTTATTTCTTGAACATTTTCTGGTTGGATTCACTTTTCGATTGAAACAATTCACTCTTGAGTTTTGGGCGGCGGCAATGACATAAGTCCTCAAGAACCTGCTTACCCAGTAGCATCATGTCGCTTTTTAGCATCTCATTTATTACCGACCTCATTTGTCAAGATAGCTGCGTCAGATCTGTTTTCTTTGAATTTCTTTTTTTTATAATTTGGGACTGAAATTTGATACCACTGCTGACTGCGAAAGAATGCAGCGCACGCGCTCACCAGAACGCTGTCGCGCCGACGCGCCCGAAATGACGACGGACGCAAAGGAAGTTTTCCGATGCATCAACATGATTAGTGGTCGAAAAAGTATTTTCAAAAAAAAAAAAAAAAAAACGGCAATATTTTTTCTTCAACAAATGATAACAAAGTGTCACGAGAACTTCAAATGATGCTTAGAGCGGAGTGAAAAATGTGAGGACGCTTGCCTGTTGTCGCTGACCTGCGGGGGCGCCGGCAGTGGGCTCGCTGGCTGGCTGGCTGGCTGGCTGGCTGGTCTTGTGCTCGGGATGAGAGATGAGCTTTAAATGCCACACTGGCGGGAATGCGCCGTCTCCTCTTTAGGGAAGCGGATTAGCTGGCAGGCCAATGGACGCGCAAGGTCGTGTAATACAACGCACGCACACACACACACACACACACACACACACATATGGACGGATCCCCCCCCCCCTTTAAATAACCGACTGACCTTTAAGATTGTTTTCTTCCCCTTGCCATGATGACGATGACGGACGCAATGTCAGCGAGGAGAAGATGAGGAGGATCAAGATGGCCGGGATTGAGGTGAATTGAGGAAGATGAGGATGAAGAGGATCAAGATGAAGGGCGGGCACGGGATGAGGAAGTCGAGGCCGAGGGTTGCGGGACGGAGGCGTGGATGAAGACGGACGGGAGGAGGAAGACGATCAAGAGGAGGAGGGTGAACGCGAGAAGGACGAGTCTGAAGACGAAGAAGAAAGCTGAGGAGGACGAGAAGGAAGGTCGCGCACGAAAGAAGATCAAACGAGGAAACGGAAAGATGAGGATGAAGATGGGCAAAAAGGTTCCACTCGGAGCCCCCCGTGCTTGAAGTGTTCCAACTCAATCGGCCCCGGATTGGGCGGCAACTTTTGACAGCAACTCACTCAACGTTGTTGCCACGGTGATGACACTTTGTAGTCAAGAATCAAACTGATCGTTTCAATGTGCGGGTTGTTTTTTTTAATTGCCTGAATCAAAAGCCAAACTTATTTTGCAAGTAGCCCCGCCAGGCGCTCGGCCGAGCCGCCCCGTCGGACGCTAGGCGTCGCCCTCGAACATTTTCTTCCTGCCGACCATGCCCGACTTGTCCTCGATGTTCTTGCGCCAGTCCACAACGTCGCGCAACTCCTTGTCCTGCAAAACAAACAACGGAAAAAATCCGCAATCATCGCGAATAACAACCGTCGTCAACATTCCGGGCAAAGTCGATACATTGTGTGTCACGCAAACGGCAGACAATTGCTGAGCACGGCTGCCCCACAGCGTTCCCCGCGCCTGTGTGGGTTTTCTCCGGGTACTCGGATTTCCCTACACATTCCAAAAACATGCATGGGGCAGGATGATTGGACGCTCTAAACGGTCCCTCGGGGTGATTGTGGGCGTGAATGGTTATGTGTCCTGCGATCGGCTGGCAACCGGTTCAGGGTGTCCCCCGACTCCTGCCCGAAGACAGTCGGGATCGACTCCAGTGCGCCTGCGCCCCTCGTGAAGAGAAGTGGGCTGGAAAATGGATGGATGGATGGAAATAGGTGTGCAGTGTTCTTCGGAATGAATTATTTGTCATTGTTAGCAGAGATGACCTGGCAACACATTTTATCAATCTAGTGGTCCACCAGAATTATTTTGTCACCCTTACAAGGCGACTCCAATTGGTTTTTTTTTTTGTTTTTTTATCCTTTTCGGGGTTTTTTTGCACCGTTAAATGAAAGGCAAAATGTACAACGTGTGGCTGTCGCGCTGACCTCGTCCTTGACCTCCTTCTTGACCTGCTTGAGGTTGGCCCTGAGCTCCATGTTGACGGTGTGCTTGGAGCCCAGCAGCGCCTTCAGCATGGCGTCGGCCGACATGCGCACCTTCTTCAGCGTCGGCTTCTTGAACTTGCCCGTCACGTCCTGCACTTTGATCTTCAGGTCTTCGATCTGGACACATCGCAAACGCGACATTCGTGGCCAAAGGAGACGTCTTCAGTGAAAAGCTCGCGCGGGTGCCGGCGCCACGATGGGCAACGATATTTGACCTGGGGTGTTTTTGCAGATATTTCCCTCTAACATGCATAGACGTGTTGTTTGCCACGCCAGTAAAAAAAAAAAAAAATTATAAAATCCTCGTCGTTTGACATATTAGCGAGCCAAGGATGTGACACTCAAGTTGGCTCCTCCTACCTCCTTGTTGGCCTTATTGACCTTCATCTCAAGGTCATAGCGCTCCTCGTCCATCTCGTCGATCTGGTGGTGGATCTCCCTGCACAGCTCCTGCACACGCACATGGTCAATAGTTTAGGGGGGTGGGGGGAGGTTTGAAAAAGAGAAGCCACACATGAAAAACACTTCTCTGGCAGTGCGACAGCACTTCATGAAAAAATGTGGTCACTATTTGGTCTGGTCCACTGTACTCGGCACCTGTAGCTCTTGCATGGTGTTGGGAATCACCAGCGGGGGGCAGCAACGAGCCATGTAACGCACCCGCTCCTCCTCGCGCTCGCGGGCCTCCTGCTCAAGGTGACCTTTGGCGATGGCCAGCATCACACTCTGAACACGCAAAGCAACGCGCACAACGTGAACAGCGGGCACATGTGTGGTATGCACGCCGTGTCGAGTATGACCGCATGCGCCCTAGTGGGGGATGTGGTATAGTTGAGGTACTCGCAAGGTTGTGTAGTATATAATGTTGGCGTAATATTTACAGCAGTGTGCACAGAATAAAATCTAAGCTGTAGGCCAAACGTAGCCGTTGTGAAGTGTCGGATGTATGTATGTACAAAGCCAATTCCAATGAAGGTGGGACGATGATTTGCAAAACATGTTCAACACATTTTTTAATTGACTACACTACAATGTTCATGTTCAAAGTGATAAAGTGTTGTTTTTAGCAAATAGTCATGAACTTTGAATTTTATGGCTTCAACATGTTCCAAAAAAAAAAAAAAGCTGAGAAACCTTGCGGAATGCTCATCAAACACCTGTTTGGAGCTTCCCACAAGTGGGGAGGTTCATTGGCAAACAGGCGGGTGCCACGTTTGGGTACAAAAAGAGCGACCGGGGCGGGACTGCATCAAAAACCGAATATCGATGTGGGAATGACATCACCGCTTGGGCGGAGGAACGCTTCAGAAAAACAATGTCACCAAATACGGTTTGGCGCTACATGCGTAAGTGCAACTTCAAACTTTCCTATGCAAAGTAAGAGCCATTTATCAACCACACCGAAAAACGCCGCTGGTTTCTCTGGGCCCGCGATGGACTGATGCAAAGTGGGAAAGTGTCCTGTGGTCTGACGAGTCCGCATAGGGTAGAATGTGTGTCGTGTGTAAGTAGTGCGATGGGGCATGCACGGAGCGCGTTCGTATTTGTACCTTGAGGTGATGTTTACGACTCAAAGACATTTTCTTCCTGGAAGATTTAAAGCCCAAAAATAAACAAAACATACAACGGGTCGGAGTATTTCAGATCAAATACAGTCCACCATACCAATTAAACACCTAAAATGCGTTATTATTTGTAATCAATCATTGTATTGTATAATCATGAACTATGTTTCTATGTGTGACTTACTCTGACATGTTGGATGGATTGACTGTCTTCAAGCTGTGAAGAAAAGAAAAAAAAATCAAAGTCGTTGCCTAGGTAACGACCAATCACGGCTGGCTCAACCTGCGAATGTCACGTGACCAAACGCAGGAAAAACAGGTGAGTCCTGATTGGTCGTTACCTGGACCGCCGCTGCGATGTCATTTTCTGTTGACGGTTTTTAAAAAAAACGTTCATATTCTACAAAAGCAATACAGTATTGACCACAGTGCCGTATTTGGACGAGTAAGGCAGCAGAGAACATTTTTTTTTCTGTCAAGAGCAGCTTTGCGTTGACTTTCCTTTTCACAAAATAAATGACAACGTGCAACTAAACCAGCGGTCAAATCAGACTAAATAGAACGTCACGTAAAATGCAAGATGTATTTCTATGTTGGGGAAAAAAAATATCTTACCTTTGAAGAGAAGAAAAGGAGCAACGACGAAAAACCTTGAAAAGTTGGCTTTACGTTCTGGCCTCTTTCCCTTTATGGACGCAGATTTTCTTCACCATCCAATCGAGTGGCAGCATTTGCGAGCCCGGCAGTTTAAGCTCCGCCCCTCCCAAAATAACGTCCACTAAAACCTGAACTGTGGGCCCAACCATGCGACACCAAATCTCCGGAACCAGAGGCAGGTTTCACTCATCTCGAGCTGTTTGTTGTAATGGCCCTTAAAAAAAAAAAAAAAAAGTTGTTGCGCCTTGGAGTCCCAAAGTCCCACACGCGGAGGAAGTGGAAGTGGGGCAATTCCGGAGAGGTCAGCTGGCGGCTCTTCGGAAGTGTGAGCAGAAGAGTCCCGATTTGCAAAGGCGCGACCACCAAAGGGAGATTGGAAAATAAATCGCGCGTGGGTTCGAGTAAAAGAGCCCGTCGCACTCCCGGGAACAAGCCTCGTACCCATTGGTTCGGTTCGGATTGTAAATAGAACCAAACACAAAGTAAATAACGATTCTGTTTCAACGTCGTCCGTCGTCGGGCATCGCGGGCGAATGTGTTTCTCTCCGGGAGGGGGCGTGGCTAGTGACAGACAAAAATGCAGCATCTGCGGAGAATAAACGCAGCGGTCTGAGGTGAAGACATTTGTGCTGATTTGAATGGTTAATGATTTGATTGCTCCTGCACAGTTGTCGACAACCGGCAGTTAAGTTATTTTTACTTTGGAGCGAAAAACAAACAAACAAACAAGCAACGTGAAGACGCCAAATGCTTTGTAGCGACAGTGGGCGATTTTTTTAAATAGGTTTCTGCTGGAATTCTGCCATTAGCCTGTCTATTTAAGCGCAACTTTTTTCTTTTTTTGGACTAAAAGTTGAAAACACAAACACAAAAATGTGTAAAAAAAAAGACAACTATAATGATTCAACATATATTTTTTTTGTCTGTGTTAATGTTTTGTTTTTTTAACCGACACGTTACCACACGAGTTACTCGAGTGTTACACTAAAAGTTCAGTCACACAAATTTGAAATGATCCCAAAAGAAAAGGACGATGCTAAATCATTAACAACAAACGTTTTTATGCCTTCTTTGTAGCAGACTATTATGAAATCACCGAGTCGTTAGCCTGTATGAGATGTGAAGCCAAACTCATAATGTAGTTTCTCCCAATTTTATATTGAAAAAAAATGCAATTTTTCGAACGTAAAGAAAAACTGGAGAGCTCCAGATGATGACGTACCCGCATTGACAATATTTCCTTTACACACACATCGATGCTATCATGTTTATTGCGAATTTTGACAATCGTTAGCCTGCACGAGACGTTTAAATCAAACGCAACAAAGTTAAAAATAAATTCCTCCAAATATTATTTGCAAAACATTTTTTGTTCTTCCGGGTACCCATAAAAATGTGGAGGCGCACATTTTTTTTCCCCTCCACAAAGATCCTAATGAGCATGCGGTATCGATTTTGTCTTGACACTGATTTATTTATTTTTAAACGACCAAAACGTTATCAATATCAGTCAGCTTTTATTGAACGAACAGTACAAACGTGGTCGCACCACCGAGGAATCACCTGAGAACATTGAGGAGAACAAAAGTTCACGTTCACCTTCACCATGGACGCAGAAAACCAAAAGCGCTAAAATACAACAGCCAGCCAGCGTTCACGAAAGCTCACGTTTGCACGGAAAACAAAAAAAAATCTAAGAGAAATTGAACAGCACACGTCGAGAAAAGGTGCAAATGTCACATCACAAACCAACCAAAGACGCTTTCCGCGTTAGCGTAGCCGCCGCTAGCCACTTCGAGATGTTAGCGTCCGGTTATCGCGGTTGAACGAATCATTTTTGGAAATATTTGCATATATCAAAAAAGCTTTGTCATCAAGTGGCAGGGAGTCGACTCCTGACAACTTAAAGAAACAAACCAACGTCACCATTTGACACTTTGAGCCGAGTTCTCGGAGGCGAGCCAAAATGCTGAGCTCAAGAAAGCATTTGTGCCGATTTGAAAAAACTTTCTGCTCCCTTGCTAATTATCGGCTGGCGAGTTTGAATATGAGCAGAAAAATTCTCGAAAATAAAGTTGTAACATGACCACAAAATAGTCAAGCTCTGTTTCAGGTTGTGGGAATTTTTGACGTTGGGTTATTAAAATGTTGACTTGATTCTCATGATATGACCACTTGTTTTCTTCCCTCCCCCTCGTTCTTGCCCTTTTTTTTTCCCCTTTGCATGTCCCTCAAACGTCTCTTTTGCATTTTCACCTCAAATCGTTTTGCCGTGTTGTCGAACCGAACCAAAATTATGATCGCAGCGAAGCACAACAAGGACCTCCATCACGCGCTTCTTTCAAATCACCCCCCAAAATCCAACCGGTGCACAGCGAGAGTTCTTCCTCACAGAGGACAGCTCAGCGCGGGTCCACGTTGTTGTTCCAGCAGCAGACGAGCACATCGAAAAGGAACATCAACACAAAACATCTCACTGAGGACCGGGAAGATCAACACCAATTGAGTTTCTGAAGAGGACCACTTGGGAGGATCCTGGACCGCTCAACTGGACCGCCAGCTACCAGAACCACATCACGCATCTGCCGAGAGCTTGCCGTGGAGATGAAATCCAGACATCTTGGGGAGAAAACGCCCAAGGGGGATCTCATCGCGCAACATAAGTGGAACCAGAACCACACCTGCCGTCTCCTGAGACGTTGGGACGGAGAGAAAAACTGATTGAGTTCATCACAAAGATCGAGTGGAGGTCTACAAGACACCACCACTTGGGAGCAGAAGCGCATCCCTGGACCGAGAACCGAGTCACACATCTCCTGACATGTGGTGCTGATGGAGCTTTAAAAAATAAAAATAAAAATCTGAGAGGGAAGACTCACAAAAAGGATCAAGTAGACCACATACCACACCCGTGGAACCAGAACCAGGTCTCACACATCTCCTGAGATATTGGGAAGAAACTATATATATATATATATGACAAAGGATGGTGGACAAGCTGCAGATGTGGCGATGTCGCTCCCACATGGTCCAAGAAGCACACCTCTGGAACCAGCACCGGCCTTCAGGAATGATCACAGACGTTGGGATGGAGCAAAAAAGAAAAAAGAAAAATCCTTCGGAAGGGAACACACAGAAAAGATGACATCTAAGTCCATCCCCCATAAAATTGCTGGACCATCTGGTACTAGAACCACATTATGCAGAGTCACTGACAGAGTTCTTCTCAAATATCAATTGGAGGCTGAGACAGCACCTGGTTCACTGAGACCGTGACACGGTGGGATGGGGCTTTAAAAAAAATTAAAACGGCAGCTCAACTGGAGGTCCACCAGACATCGCCTGGTATCAGAAATGGGTTTTACACATCTCTCCTCAAACTTACTTCTTGGGGTTTGAGGCTAAAAACGCCCATCAACGCAATCTATGAAACAAGAACCACATTTCACGCATCTGTTGAGATGGCACCAAAGAAAAAAAATCTCCAGAGATGTGGTGATGGAGCTAAAAAAAAAAAAAAAAAAATCTGAGAAAATAGGCTAAAAACCTGAACTGTGGGCCCAACCATGCGACACCAAATCTCCGGAACCAGAGGCAGGGTTCACTCATCTGAGCTGTTTGTTGTAATGGCCCTTAAAAAAAAAAAAAAAAAGCCCACAACCATTTTCTTGGGGAGAGAGAGCGCTCACAAAAGGTCAACTGGAGGGAGTCCGCTGGACCACGTGGCACTCGAACCCCATTCAACAGAGTCAAATCAAAGAGTTCTTGACAAACATCAACCGGAGATCCGCGAGGAACCGCACGGTTAGGAAACGCACCTCACCGGAACCCGAACCGGCTCTCGTCACGTCGCCGAGAAGTTGGGACTTGGTCCGGGGAGACCGGGCAAAGTTTGCGGCGGTCTGACGGGAGGGCGGAGTCAGGTCCAGGCCACTTTCCTGGAGATGGCCTGCTTGAAGCTCTCCGGGTCGGCGTCCCCGGGCCTGAGCGTCCTCTCCAGGCTGACCAGCAGGTTGCGGTGACACTCGCGGATGTTGACGGGATACCTGGCGCGGAGAAGCTCGTAGGCGGCCACGAGCCGCATGTTGCGCTTGAGCATCAGGTACTGGATGACGCAGGTGGGCGCCAGGGAGAAGCCGTCGCCGCAGTGGACCAGAACCCGCTTGCGCTTGCCGGCCGAGGCGTGGATGCACTCGTTGATGTCCTCGAAGCAGCGCTGCTTGACGTCGGCGATGTCCACCTTGAGGCGGGACCAGCTGTGGCGGGCGCCGCGCGAGCAGGTGCAGGGGATGAGGCTGTGGGCGGGCGCCGCCCGGCCCGGGGCGCCGCTCACGTCGATGATGCTGTCG